CTGGTATCGGAGGTTCCATTATGGAACTTATTATGTCTATCATCTGTTACCCGTACCGGAGGCTCCATCAAGGAGCTCAGCATGTTTATTCTCTGTTACCCGGTATCGGAGGTTCCATTATGGAACTTATTATGTCTACCATCCGTTACCCGTACCGGAGGCTCCATTATGGAGCTCAGCATGTTTATTCTCTATTACCCGAATCCAGAGGTTCCTTTATGGAACTGGTTATTCATAACCACCATATGTTCTACATTTGTTTTGTATCTATTCTGTTAGCGCTAATGGATGTACCACGTATGATTAAGCATGAACTCTGATTTCTATATTTGATTTGAACAAGAATATGAATATGAATCTGAATTATGATTTCTAAATTTGATATGGACATCATTCATTAAAACCCTTTACTCTGTTATTATTCACTAGGCTCTAGCTCATTGTATTATTTATGTATGTAAGTGATCAGGCGCGTGACCAGGCTTAGAGATATTTGCCTGGAATCTTTTTTTGTCAGCCAACCTATGTGCCTCCCGTGGAGGTTCCGGATATGTCAAATGACTATGGCTATGTGATTTAAAGTTTAAGTTTTATTTTCTCGTTTGGTTAACCAAGTCTTGTGTATTTTGTAAATAGGGCTAAGTCCTTTTTTGTCTAATTTGTATATATGTATTATAATTTTAATTATTAATATATATATATATATATATAAAGTTTACCACTTATATGTATTTAATAATAACAATAATAATACTGATTTAAATTTCCCCTACAATCAAAAGCATATTAGTCAATCACATACCTGATTTTGATATAGCTTTGGATGACGATAGTTATGACTGTGCACTTGCACACCAGGCCATTTCTCAATACCTGCCCAATAATTTAGTTATATATATTATCAAATTAATAATGAGAGAGAAATAAATCATCACAAAGGATATCAAACTCTTCCATAGAAGTTGAATCTGATACATCACACTATAAATGTCTTGATTGTAGTTTAAATAATTTGAATAGTTTATTTTGTAAAATTAGATAAATTTGATATAATCACATAATGATTAATTTTTGATTAACTTGATCTTGCATATAGAGCATTGTCAAAATATGATACATGTTTGATTGTTGGATAAAGATGAGAGATAAGGTCCGGATACAACATGTTTTTTAGTTGGATGTTTGGTTACAAAGTATTAAAAGTTTGTATAAATTCGGTCCTACTATGGAAGATTAAATGAAAAAAATGGAGTATCACAAGAAATTGAAGGAAGTATTCGGCCCTATATAATTAAATAATTCTGTAGAAATTGAAGTATTGGTTAGGCCTCTCAGTTTCCTCCGAGCAAAAAAATAAAGGGGAATTACAATCCAATGAGTTCGGAAAAAAATCTCACATGAAAATGTTTAGAAATTTAATTATTAATATATATAAATTTTACCATTTATGGGTAATTTATTTTCTACACATATACTGAATAATATTTTCTCTAAAACCATAATTATATATTTTTATCTCATTCTAGTCAAACATAATATTTCATTACCTTTATTAAATTATTTCATCTATCACCTAATTTCATAATATAATTTATCCCAACAATTCTATTAATAATCTCATTTATAATTCAATCTCATCTAAAATAACTTTACATTCAACTGTCGCTAATAAGTAATGTTATATCAAATAAAAACAATTTACACATCATATAAATTTTAAAAAAAATATATTAAAAAATATTTTGTTAGGTTGACATTTTCCATATGTAAAATAAATGTGTTCTCAGTTTTTTCTGTCTGTTTGTCTTACTATAGTTATTTACTGAGTTTTTCCTCTAAATCCATTAAATCATGCTTTCAAATTCACCAGTTTTAAAATTTTTACAAAATTAAATATCTAGATTTTGATATTATGAAATTCTAATATGACCTTTGGGACAATAATTAACAACGTTAAGTATCTTAAAATTTACTCAGAAAAAAAAGCACATTACATCATAGAGATTGATTTCAAATATGAGTTCACAAAATAATTTTTTGAGTAAATTTCTAAAATAAATTTTCTTGTTTACTAGTTTTTTTTTTTTTTGGGAAAATAATTTATGTAAGAAAATTAGCTAACCTGGAAGATTGGCCAGTCGAGGTTGAGTGTTGTGACCATTGCAAACCACTACTGCCTCAAACACCTCTTCCCGACTCGACTCACTCGTCCTTGACTCAACAACCCACTCATTATTCCTCAAGTCAACCCTCTCAACTCGGACGACTTCAGTTCCAAACCGAATCAACTCAGTGATTCCGAATTCCCTCGCAAAGTCATTGAGAAATCTCAACACCTCTTCGTGCCTGGGAAAATTCCTTTGATCTCCATTTTCTCGGATGCCAAACGGGTAATCCGTGAAACCCATGAGCTGTCGAGGGATATTGGTGCGAAGCGAAAAGTAGAGACTGCTGTGAACGATCTCTCTGTTTGAGTCGAGGCCGAGTTGATCGGTCTCGACTTGTGGGTTGTAGACCCATGTTCCACCGAGTTGGTCGGCCTTTTCGAAGACCGTGACTCGATGGTTTTCTCTTTGAAGTTCACGGGCGGCGATGAGCCCCGCCGCACCTGCTCCGATCACCGCCACCTTCAGACACGGTCCCATATTATATATATATATATATATAATATGTTGTGTATCTCTATGTTTTGTCAAAGAAAGTGACAAGGAATGGGAGTTGCTTGTTTTGCGTGTGATATTTTGGGATAGCTATTGATTATATGTCGTATTGGCGGTGTTTGGCAACTCATGGGTAAGGTTATTTTAGCCTCTTTAACAAAAGAAAAAAAAGCCATGTGGCCTACTGTAGCTGAGGTACCAAGGCATGTGCATTGATTTTTTACAAACAAATTTTGGAAACCAAGGAAACAGACGGTGGCAGTGTTCTCACTGCCGCCTACACCAACGTTATGTATTTTATAAATATTTATATGGACAGTTTGGTAAATTAATATTTTACCACCATTTCAAAAATATTTTTTAATATAACAATTTTAAAAAAATTTATCCTATCTTTTTCTAAGAAGCACGGACACTTTTAAAAAGGTGACGTATCCGTGTCGGACACCGACACTCTTCGGACACTTCCCGACACGTGTCCGACACTCCTCAAAACGTGTCATGTTTTTTAATTTTTCTTAAAGATCCGGACACTCTTTGGACACTTGGAGGACACATGTGTTTATCGCTTAAACACACGTGTCCATCAATTAGACACAGGTGAAATTAATTATAAGTTTGAACAAAATAATTTAAGATACAAAATAAAACAAAAACCATATGAATTTATAGGAATTAGTGTCATATTGCATTTTTCATTATCTTTAAATGATATATCTATATATATAGAATTATATATTTTATGCGTGTCTCGCACGTGTCGTGTCCTGTATTTTTTGAAAATTAACATGTCGGCGTGTCCGTGTCGTATCCGTGTCGTGTCGCGTGTCCGTGTCCATGCTTCTTAGATCTTTTTAAACATAAAAACTAAAATAACTTATTAAGATAGTCAAAAATTAAAAAAACTTATAAAATAGCCACTTTCAAAACATCCACATTATGATCTCAATTATTGGTGTACAGAGAAATTTGACAGGAAGTGGATTTTTTTTAGTCTATAATTTAAATTGGAGAGTGTTGTTTGTATTGTAGGATTTATTACGTATCTCATTTCAATTAATTGAATTATTTATTTTGTTGAGTAGCTCCAGTATTTCGTTGACAAAAAAGAAAAAGTTAGAAAAATTTGATAATTTTCTTCTATTTAGTTTATCATGTTTGTCACTAAAAAATATATTATAATTGTGTTTTTAAAAATAAATTATTCATTTTTTTTTACAAACGTAATAAATTGAATAAGTTACAATTATTAAATCAACTTAATTTTTCGTGTAAATAAAATACACAAAATGCATATCAAAATAAATGGTTAGAATTATTGAAATTGAAACAACACCATCCAATCTAGATTTGGACTAAAGGGATCCCACCTCCAATTTGATTTATTGTTATTTAGTAGTTAAGAAATAAAAAATGACACATTTAATAAATTGTAATTTTTTATTTGTTAAGATAACTACATAGATGACACTAGGGGTACTCAGCGAATATTCTGATCCATTCAAACCAACCGAATCGAATCGATTTGCCACATTTTGAACAGATGTGTGATGATGAGTGGATAATTGCAGATTGATTTTTTTCAATTCGTCTAGTTTTGGTCGGATAGAAGATTTGAGATTCCTTTGACCGTAATCGAACCGCCAAACTGCGAGCATGCTTAGTAATTTATAAGACTTTATTTTTCAATTTGTTTAGATATTCTGTTTGTGTTTTCAATTAAAAAAGAGTTTAGATATTCTGTTGTGTTTTCAATTTGAAAATTCTTTTATCAAATGGCAAATGTTGATATTTAATATTTTTGTGTGAAAAATATAATGTTTAATTTTTGTCATTTTTAAAAAAAAATCAAATTAAATAGTTTTTGAATAAAAAAAAAGTAATGATAGTTTTGATAATGCATGATTTTTTTATATGTATTTATAATTAGTATTTGACAATTTACTTGATAATCTTTTGATTATGTTGAGTTGGATTGTTTAAAAAAATAAAATAAAACAAAAATTTGTTGACAAAATGTTGTATTATGTTCAAAATTTTTAAAATTTTAAATCGCTAAATCGATTCGCATCTATCCGCTAATTCGCCAATCCACTCAATCTGCATCAGCCAATCTGATGGATGAATACAGATTGATTTTTTTTTAATCCGCCAATCCGACAAACGGATGGTGATTTAGAGGTTCCCGGCCGTAATCGAACCACCCGTACCCCTAGATAACACCCTAAGGAACTCGAGGACTATTTAATAATTTTTCAATAATGAGGTTGTTTGTTGTACATGCTATTGGGTTGTAAAATTGTCGTGGCCTGGCCTGGTCCACCTGAGCCTGGGCTTAGGTCGGCCTACTGTTGGGCCACATGGGCTTGGCTGGAGTTGTGGGCTGGAGTTGTGGGTCTTTTTTTTTTTTAAAAAATAATTGATATATATTATATATATTAGGGGTGAGCCGCGGATATATCGATCCGCCAAAACCGACCGAATCGAACCGATCCGCCACATTTTGGACGGATGCGTTATGACAAGAGGACGGTTACGGATTGATTTTCTCCAATCTGCCAATTTGGCGGACGGATGGCGGATTTGAGATTCCTTTGGCCGCAACTGAACCACCAAACTGCGAACACCCCTAATAATTTATAAGACTTTATGTTTTCAATTTGTTTAAATATTTTGTTTGTGTTTTCAATTGAAAAAGAGTTTAAATATTCAGTTGAAAAAAAGTTTTCAACTTGAATATATTTTTTGAATTGAAAAAAATAAACGTATTGTTTATCTATATTTTTTGATTTTTAAATTTAACTTTAAAAATAATAAATAGAAAATATGATATATGCTAATTGGTTTTTATTTTCAAAAACATAAATAGATGTAACAATACAGAGACATACAATCTCTACTACTGCCTTGTTCATGCTTTTGATGGTTTGAATTGTTATTATATTTTAAGAATCACAGATTGTAATACTTTATGTGGATGAATCATGCTGTTATTGTAATATATGGATGAGCCATGCAGTGATTGTGATATTCTAAAGTTTCAAACTTTCTTTTTTTGGATGAGACATACAGTGATTGTAATCAGCTTGTTTGTTTTCATATTTCAAAAAACACTTTTCAAAAAATTCTACTTTCTTATTTTTCGTATTTTTTTATTTTTACTGAATTTTTTTAATATTTTAAGCAAATTTTTTTTTTTTACTTTTTAGACGCACCTAACATAAATACACCTAAAAGGTAAAAAAATTGTAAAAAAAATATTTTAAAAATTCACTAAATACCAAAAATACAAAAAAAAATTACAAGAACTCAATACATTTTTTGTATTTTTATGTATTTATTAATTTTTTAAAATATTTTTTCACAAATTTTTTACTTTTTAGATACATCTAAGTAAGGTGCATCCAAAAAAGTAAAAAAAAATGTTTAAAATTTTAAAAATATTCACTAAAAACAAAAAAACACGAAAACCAAAAAACTTAGTTTTCAAAAAACTTAATCTAGAAAACTCAAACCAAACACACTAGTTTTTTAAGTCGTTGATTGTAATATTTTTTTTTTTTGAGGAAGTGCACAAGTTGAATTATGTTGAAAATTTATAAAATCTTAAACCGCCAAACCAATTCGCATCTATCCGTCAAACCGCCAATCCGCTCAATCCACATCCGTCGGATTAGTGGACGGATGAGGATTGATTTTTTCCAATCCGCCAATTTGGCGGACGGATGGCGGATTGGAGGTTCCGTGGCCACAACCAACCCGCGCCCACCCCTAATATATATCAATTATTTACGAGGTATAAAAAATTCTTTTAGTTAAGATTAATATGATGTTTTGTTATATTTCATATTGTAGTGGTATTTAGTAATAGGTATGTATAAATTATGTTTTTTTAGTTATAACTTAAAATGTATAAAATTATGTAATTTTCTTCTTTTGTTATGACATTATTTTAGTTATTATGAATCATGAAAGTCATTTGGTATGACTCATGAGGTGTGTAGTTATGATTTATTTATTTATTTATTTCTTTTAATTAAAATTATGACTAAGTATCAAGTTATGTCATTTTCTACTTTAATTATGACTAATTTTCTTTTTAAGTTATGATATTATTTTAGTTATGGTTAATGATATATGTGCTTATTATGTTATGTTTTGTACTTATGACTTAAAAAATACGAAATTATGCTATTTTCTTATTTAGTTATAAGGTGCTTATATAGTCTTTCCCAAAAGAAATTAAAATGAAATGAATAATGTTATATATATTAAAATGAAACGAAATATTACAATCATTAATTAAATAGATAACATTTAATGAATAATTTTTATATTAAAATTGTGGAGGGTTAAAATATTGGCCCAAATCCAAAAGCAATTAGGAAAAGCAGCCCAAAGGAAATGATAGACCCAGATAAGTTTCTAAGGAGCTCATTAGAGACAGTTGGCAGAACAAAGGCACGTGGTTGAGCTCATGAGGAGCAAGGAAAATGTGAGATCTCCTTCTAGAAAGAGATCAACAGAATGTTAGGGGATTGTTGGATTCATTTTCATCCAACGGTGGAGACATCAAGCGATAAATACAAAGACATAGGTCAGGCCTGCTAAGCGACACAACCATCTGATTAGCTTGATCGGACAAACATAGCAGTTGGCAAGTTGGCTATTGGCATTTGACACAATCTGAGCTGTCCAAGAGAGGACAACCTAACGATCAAAGGCAAAGACAACATAACCATTTGCTTGACCAGACCCAGAAGCGGGCAAAACCCTTGGATCGACCATTGATCCAACGGATGGGACTCAAGTCAGGAAAACTACAAAAGGCGAAGTAGGTGAAGCAAAGAAATGAGGGGAGGTAATCTAGAAACCCGCTTTTAAATACAATACTCTTTTAGTTGAATAGAATTCTGACTTGATCGTCAGAGGGTCTTCTCAACCATCCAATGTCGGGGATGATCACTGATGATATGGTTTCTCTTTGTAGAATAAAAGAAGGGACACTTCATCTTGCTTTCTCTGTGGAGAATAAATCTACCTTCCACAAAAATGAAATAGAATAGGGTAAATTATATTTACCTCCATTAAGGTTTCTGATAATTACAAGGACCTCCCCTGAGGTTTTGAAA